TTTCCGAGAGCGGATAAGAATTCGAAAAAGTAGCGATATCATCGGCGATGATTTTCACAGAAATTCCATGTCGAATTACTAATTTCCGCATTAGAAAATGCCGGCAGGGAAATTTTTAAATTATTTTAAAATTTTTTAAGTAAAAATATGCGCAAATGTTCGACCTTTTGCTTACTTGTGCATTTAAAAAAAAAAATTTAAAGTAAATACTGTATAAAGTCTTTTGGTCTTTCGGGGTAAAAGAACAGGGTTCAAGCTTCTTTAAATTTTTTAAAAATAATACACCATGTTAGCCGCTAAATTTCGTTGGCCAGTGTTATGCTTTTTCTTTTTTGGAAATAAAGGCTATCTTCACTGTTAATAATTTGATTGTAATTTTTAGTTATGGTTTCAAATCAATATTAGTATTTCTTTGCAGGAAAACTATTTATGCAAAATAGAACCGGTTTATAAGATGTTTTCTTAATTTCAAAATGGGGTACCGGTTTTTTTTTACAATCGAAATTTTTCGAATAACTTGAAAACCGATTTTGGAAAAGAGGCTAATAATCCTAGTATCATAAATAACAAGCTCACAATATAAATCAATTTAGTATTTCAATATGTAGCTCACAAAGAACTCTTCAAAAATAAATTAATGGGTTGAAATTGAATTTTCGGATTTTTATGAAAGATGTGCAGACAGCACNACACTTAAGTTACTCACGTACATATGCACGAGTACATATGTATATATGTATGTGTGAATGTAGTACATCAACTGCGCAATTGGTAGTTAGCAAACGTCGGGGTTAATGCTAAAATATTTATGGCCGACAACCACAAAGTACCAACACAACTCGCTGTCTACTACTACTTCGAGCATAATATCTGCGGTCTATGCTCTGCTCAATGTGGTGTGGCTAACTGTTGCATGCTCTCCTTGAAACTCTACCCTCACTGCGTAGTTAGCTATAGTATGTCTAAGTTTATGTATATGTATGTACCATGCACAAAACCTCAAAACCTTTTTTTCGCGCCTCCTTTTTGTTTTTAAAACTTTCTCAGTACTTTTTTTTTGTTACAAACCATAGGCACTTTTTTGTCTCAAAAACTGTTAACAAAGTGAGCGTTTTCTTTAGTCTGAGTGCATTTTTGGCTTGCCTGACATTTGCGTAAAGTGTAAATGATGCGGGTTTTTTGCGATTTCATACATTTTGACACTCGAGTGTCTGACAGCGGGGATTGTGAAGGCGAAATGGAATGCTTTGATTTGTCTAGGTATGGCATTTACAGTGCCACTGGACTAGTGGCGCATTCAGGTTCTTTAACCTGAGTTGCGT